TCAAACTTTCCAATAATATAAAATATAATGTTCACAAATATTTGCAGTATACATTTTACATATTCTTCGATGTTTGAAAATTGTTTTATTTGCATAATTATATACATACATATTTTTTTGCAAGTGTGGTATACACACAGTAAAAATATCACTCACGAAACATACAGGATCTTTAAAACATTTCAAATTTCTTCAACAAAAATTAGCATGAATCTTTTTGGTTTGCCAAATTTCTTGGTTTTTTCCCCACGGCGTAGCTCGACGGACTTAAGTTTAAATACATAAGATACATATTAAGTAATTCAACAGTATACGTTTAAAGAAGTAGATAATTTTAATATAGGTTTACATATAGCAGTATTAAAATCTAGCTCATTTAGGTACATTTACGTGACTATTAGATATTAAAGCGTTATTAAAACTACGGAAGCTTAGTGGGTATCTGAGTATACAATGTACATAATTTCTACAATTCTATATACAACATTTTTCAAATACTCCAACTTAAAAAGAAGCGGAACAAGTGAATAGCGTGTCGGTATTATATTTAAAATGATCATCTTCAACAGGACATGAAGAAAAATAACAGTAAATCGTTTTGAATCGTCGGAAATGGCTAACACAAACTACATATTACATATTTTAGCTTTAATATACATGTATATACGCATGTAGTTTGTATATATATACATGAAGGTACAGTATCTTATACCGGTACATTACATACGAGTTTTCTTTACATGGAAAGTCATTTTTTTTTTTGACAGGTTATATGACCATAATTATATAAACAACAGAAAACCTAAATAACCAGAATAGCTAAAAACAGTTAATACTCGTGTATGGTCATATAATCGGGCATACACTCTATAGTTGCACTATTGTCAATATCAACATATTCAGGATATATAACAAACAAAGAAAATATTGATAAGCGTTTCACTTTCAGCACTTACAGTACATAATAAGTACAGTAAATAAAATAAAATACATGTATATACATAAACATACAGTATAAATTATAAAATACATGTATTAATAAAACCACTCAAAGTGAGTTATGGCAGACTATACCAGCATGGTAATAAAAATACCAAAAATCATATTATGTAAAAAGCAAATAAAAAAATAAAACTGTTACATATATATAAAAGTTAACGACGTTCATATAAAAAAATTTTAATATATAGTTTTTGTATATGTATTTACAATCAAATCTTCTGACGTTATATACACATTTTTTCATAATCACTAACAATTAGAAAAGCATATCCTGTATGTAAGTATGTATGTATGGTATGAAAGTACGTACGTACGTTTGTGTGTGCGCGCGCGCGCTCGCACGCACCGCACGTGTGTATACGCGTCAATTTGTTATATTGAGCCCATATTGGCACCAAGTGTCACCAAGAACTCATGAAGAAACATGGAAATGAATCCAATTAAAACACACACACAAACAAGTTAATGAGTTAAAGACACAATCGTTTTACAAATTAATTTAACTGTGATACAGAAATACGTTACGATATATAGTGAAATATGTTACGATATATAGTGAAAACCATGGTGGCTGATTTGGTACACTTTGCGCGTTGCGTTTTCGATAGCGACAACACAACCTATATCGTTATCGCCTTTTCGTCTTGTCGCTAGCGAAACGCGCCAAAACGGCACCTTGTCGCACTGTCGTCTTGTCTCTAGCGAATCACGCCAAAACGGCGCGTTGTCGTGCTGCGCGTTGTCGCGATGTCGCCCTGTCGTTTGGCACATAAGCCAATCCTTCGATTTGAGCCGAGCGACAATGTGACATCGCGACAACACGCCGTACAATAACGCGCCGTTTGGCGTGCATCGTTAGCGACAATAAGACGCACAAAAGCGTTCCAAATCAGCCACCATAGAAAACACCGTGCATGTATCATAGTTGCATCATAGTTGTTCGAATAACATTTAAAATATGTAAAGCGCCCACAGGGTCGTGACTCTCCGACATTAGTACATGAACCGTATGTGAAATACAGCTATCGAATATTACAATGTAAGAAAAATACCTAAGGGTTACATGTATCAATGCATGGGTTAAGTTTAAACGCGTATTGTTAAATAAGTGGTGACTCGTTGTTTTTTTTATCGTCTTCTTCATCTTCTTCTTCTTCTTCTTGTTATTATTATTGTTGTTGTCGTTGTTCCTGGCTATTTTAGTTATAAAGATTTTTGACAGGTTATATTATTAGTTATAAATATTTTTGACAGGTTATATGGCCCTACATGTATATAAATTGTTTTTTGGAAATATAACCCGAGCCGCTAGGCATGTCAGGAATATCTATAACGAATTATAATACAGCAATCTTCCTTTTTTGAGAAAAATGTGAGATTTCTTAGAAAATTGACAGCAGCTGTGTAAATAAAACTATATAAACCTCACGATTATCCAATGAAAAGTGACATTACAAACGTGCAATATTATAAGACCCTTTATAATACTGCACGTTTGTAACGTCGCTTTTCATTGGATAATCGTGACGTTTATATTATTAGTTATAAAGATTTTTTGACAGGTTATATGGTCCTATATAAACGGTCGTTTGTATATATAACCCGAGCCGCTAATCATTTCTAGAGAAAAAAAAAGTAAGATTTCTTCATGAATCGACAGCAGCCGTGTATATAAAACTATATAAACGTCACGATTATCCAATGAAAAATGACGTTACAAACGTGCAATATTATAAAGCTTTATATACACGGCTGCTGTCAGTTTATTAAGAAATCCTAAAAAAGGAAGTTTGCTGTATTATAAATTCGTCATAAAGATTCCTGACATGTTATATGGCCGTATATAAACGGTTGTTTGCAATATAACCCTCGCTTAGCGGCTCGGGTTATATATACAAACAACCGTTTATATAGGACCATATAACCTGTCAAAAAAATCTTTATAACTAATAATATAACGGCTGATTGTATATATAACCCGAGTCGCTAAGCGAGGGTTATATTGCAAACAGCCTTTTATATATGGTCATATAACCTGTCACGGATTGTTTTACCGAATTTAGAATACAGCAGGACATGACCTTTCTTCATAATTTCATAGCAGCCGTGTTTATAATTTATAGAAACATCACTGTTATCCAATAAAAAACGGCGTTACAAACGTGCACTCTTATATTTGGTACAATTATTACAGAACTTATTTAGAACATTTATAATTTTCATTTAACTTTAAATGACTTTACAAACGTATGTAAGCAGTCATAGGTAAAATATTAATATACATGTAAAGGATATAAAAATAAACCGACATATTTATCATACAACACCTTCTTTAATGAAACTATTATGAGCCGCGTCATGACAAAACCAACATAATGGGTTTCCGACCAGCACAGATCCAGACCGCCTGCGCATCCGTGATCCATGCTGTTCGCTATCAGTTTCTTTACTTGTTATAGGGTCTGTAAGCGAACAGCATGGATCCTGATCAGACTGTGCGGATGCGCAGGCTGGTTTGGATCCATGCTGGTCGCAAACCCATTATATTTATATTGACGCCAGCGTTACATGTAGTGTGTTAATATATAAGGTTATAAATTATTCAGGCCTTTTTTATGTAGTTAACCGAACCCTCTGTTTAAAATACACAAGAAAAGTTTACTTTCGGAAACATCAATAGAGTAAATGTGTACATAAATTTTAGTTCACCGTCGAGCTACATGCTTTTCTATTATTCCTCTTTTTTCATTCTAGATTGTTATCATTGTATAACAAAGAGGTCGACCAAAGTTTGTTTATTGTCGTTGAATACAGTTGTTTATTTAGTTTGTATCTGTGTCTGCAATACATAAAACGTGTGTACACTGTCCGATCCATACATATTCTACTTCCTTTATTAAAGATTTAATTCGACACCATTACTGATATATCAATATTGACAAACAGGGGACATACCCGCCGAAGTTCCTAAACTTTTCTACTCGCTTGTTATCGACCCTGACCAATATAGTTGCAGCATTTTAAATCTAATTTTGGTCCTATAATTTTCAAGATCGCCGTGACCTGCACATTTAATTTAGTTGCGGATAGGCAAGTACAACAGCTTTGAGGCTTTCTGTTATGTCAATATTAAACACAATATCATGGCCGCGGTTTCGACTCTGCCGGAATTTTTAAAGGATACCAATTTTGAACGTGGCCTATTAATCGGTTCGATTTCTTTGCTCAATGGCGAGTACAACAGAGTGTAGGAAGCTCATCGCAGCAAAAATAAGACACTTTGTGTAGGTGCAAGAAATATGAACGAAAGACTTGTCAAAGAAACACTATACTTATACATTGCTAGAGTACTTTAACTACTTACTTGGACAAAGACATGGCACAAGATAAAAACAAGAGGGCCATGATGGCCCTATATCGCTCACCTTAAGGAATAGATTTTAACTGGATTTTTCTTATTTAAAACAAGCAACATGTTTATAAAATACTTTAGTGTCAAATGTAAAGTATTTTTGGCCAACAGCAACAGGAATGCAATCAAGTGTATAGAAATACCTCTTTTTTTCTTTTCTTTAAAGTATAGGTTGCTAAAAAATACACTCCCTGTAGTGTGTTTACATCATGAAAATTTTAACAATGACATCATAATTAACAAGGCGAAGTACAAACTTGGATAATACTTCAATAAAAATGGGTCAAAGACAAAAATGGCCGGGTTGCATTTGTATACCAAATAACATGACTCATGAGGCTGTGATGTTACAAAAATGTACTACCATTGACCAGTAATGTCGAACATTTAACTAAGTCGGTAAACAGGAAGAGGATAAGCGATAGACCTGAACTTGGGACCACATATTAATGCAGTCACATTACCAAATATCAAGAGGCTGTGTTATGTAGTTGCTGAGAAAACTGTTATGGAAATTTTCTTCCATTTACAATTAATGCCGAAAATTTAACTAAGTCATCAAACGGGAAGTGGATGAGCCACATACCTGAAATCATATCCCATTGTATGTGACTAAATGTTGATGCTGTATACCAAATATCAAGAGGCTTGCTGAGAAAATTGTTAGAAAAAATTCCTACCATTGACCATTATTATGAATTTAACTAAGTCAGTAAACATGAAGTGGATGAGTGACAGACCTGAAATCGAATCCCATGGTATGGAACAATGTGTTAATGATGTATACAAAATATTATGAGGTTCTGTAGAGTAGTTGCTGAGAAAACTGTTACCAAAAATGGTCCAACCAATTCGCCTGCCTGCCCGGAATCAAGTCTCAATACATGATGGTAAACAGTATTTGTTTTGCATATGATAATGTAAAAATTTTCGAAAACCAGTATTATAGTTGTACCAGATATCCCATTAGTGTTTAAATATTAAAATAATTTCTGATAAAAGTGTTTACTCAGGGGTATCATGTTGGGGACAGGATCTAACCCCCAAGCATCTATGGTTTATCATATTAGGACATCCCTTTCTACAAAAACTTCTTCCTGTTCACATGAGTGGCTCTATACACAGGTTTAATCATAAAATTAAATCATGTAAAATGTTATTAAAAAAAAAAAACAAACAGCAGGGATCTCAGGAAGGTCAGAATTTCACGTGGCAGACTGTTTGGCCAAAAATTTTCATGAGTCAAATCAGTTTTTTCTTGTGTTATTTTTCTACACGAATCATTTTCATGTTTTCAGAAATTACTGTTTGGGAAGTCATTTAGAGTAGATTTTCAAGTTTAAATTGATAACTATTGTAAGGTTAGGCAATTATAAGCTTCTTGCTTAGTTAACATGATGATAAAGATAATTAAGTATTTCTAGCACCATGGATAATTACCATAATTATTGTTCCACTTTCAATTACATTTATTGAGGTGATAAACACATTTGTACATGCAGGGGTAAAAGTTACAGAAACTGAAAATACTGAAAGAAAAAGTTGGGGGCCAGGGGGCTGGAGGCCCTCAGAAGCTTTTGCAATTTAGTGAATTTAAAAGTTCAAAAAAGGCTCAAATACATACTCAAGTGCTTTATTTATCTTCAGATGTAATTAATCTGATATGTTAAAATTTACACAAATTCACTGAGCAATACTATTTAAGCAATATATACACATTCCACATAACAAATTATGTTCATTCTTTTTCCTATTTTCAAATTCATATCTTAAATTTAATCCTTTTCCATTGTCTTCCACTTGTTGATGCAGCACACTTTCAACTGACTTGACAATTTCTTCAGATGTGGAAACATTTTGAATTCTCAATCCTAAATGATCCTTTACTACTTGACTAGTTTCATCATCAAAGTACTGAAAGATTATATTCAGTACTTTGTTATTGATTTTTGTTAGTTGCCTTATCCATATTCAAAGATATTAACTTATCTTTCACTTTTGACTTCACTCCATCCTTAACAGATTTGGCTACACCATGTGTTGTTATGTACATTGCACTGGTTGGAGAAAGAGTAGTTTTTTCAAGAGCAGGCTTGTCTTCAGCTAAACGTTTGGCAAGATGTTAGAGATCGCCTGCTATGGAAAATGGCAGTCAATGTTCACTAAGAAAGGCAGTTGTGATTGCTCTTTGTTTGGCAATGCGATCTTGCATACTTTCAATCTTTTTGTCCACAGCTTTTGATGAGCCTGGCAGTACCTGAAAAAGACAATTTTCAAATAAAAGATGTATGAAAACATATCAAATAAAATATCACACTCATGAATTGTCAATTTAGTTTGGAAACAAGGAGATAATCAAACTAAAAAAAACATAGATAAAGAAAATCGTGTTCTAATCCTTAAAATATTAAGCTGGAAAAAAATTTCCAGACCTATTAAAAATTTGGGCATAGGTTCCCCTGCACAAGGCCATTTTTTAATTCAACCCCCAACCCTTGCCCAGACCACATGAAAGTTGGGGGAAGACAGAAGAAAAAGAGGGTGGGGTAATGTGCATTGTTTATTAACTACACAATGCACAACTAAACCTCTTTTCATTGCTTACTCTAGATAGTGTCTAAACTACACAGAGAAATGATCTTACTTGGTCTAAGATTCTTTTAGTGGTCCTCATCTTCAGCTCATCGTGATTAAGAAGCACCTTTTTTCTGATCGATTTGTCTAGTTGATCGTTTTGGAACAGACTTCACAAAAGCCCATTGCATTTGGTTTTTTCAACCAAGCATCCCATTTTTCACCTTTAGAGTCCTTTTCCGCTAACCACTCCCACCTCCATTTGTTTTTTGCACCCTTTTTCAGATCGTTAGTATTAAAACCAGGCGGTAAACACTTCACTGTTGTTGTACATGTAATTTGACATCAAATGACTATACAACAAACGATTTCAATGGCTGGTAAAAATTACGACGACCAATCAAATCTGATCTTATATATTCTAGCTTAATTTTTCATCGGCAATCTCCGTTTTGATTTGTATACAAACTGGTCTGAGATGGACAAATTTATTTTAAAATATATATCAAGCACTATCAAGCAATGTGCACACGCTAATTAATGAGGCATGCACACACACCCATCCCGATTTCTCATCGGATTTACGTCATTCAGAAAAATGACGTCGGAGATCGCCGAAATGAGACGGTGTAAACATGTATAATTTTAGAAATCATATCACGGGAGGTGATATTTACATAATTATTAAATGTCATCCCTTAATACTTCACAAATAGTTAACAAAATACCTGTTTCAACGAAGCACACCGATAATTGTATTCATCTTCTTTTCTTTGTTTTGAAATACGAGTTTATGTTACAAAATTTCTCAATTTCCTTGTTCAAGGTCGCCATTTTTGTCCTAATTCCGGTATAGTTTAGTTTATAGGTCAGATTGATACAGATGTTTTCTAAGACTCAGGACTGATTGATATCTATTATTTAATGATTTGAATTGTATGTTTATAATCAGAATGAAATATTATGTCATAAATCGTTCAGCAGATTCAGTAAGACCGGTGTACACAATGTTGAAATATATGACTTTTTCCCGCAAACCGGAAGGAAGAATTTAAGTAATATCCGCACTGTAAATTAAACTTTTATCTTAATAAGCTATTTTTTTGTGAAAAAAATACAACATTTTTTTGTTCTCTTTCGTTTCTTTGTGCAATATCTTACAAATAAAATGTGCAAGTCAATGTCAAGAACCAAAAAACATTGCATTTTATTTCGGAAATGACACAGTCTCCTTTCTGATGATGTTACGAAATTAAAGGAAGAATCCATTATTGAATGGGGAAATCAACTACACTGTATCTCTGAAATTGGGCTATTCTGATTGACTTTGTTTTGAATTAACATTCACATTCAACAACATTTTCATCTTTCTAATGCTTTAACAGAAAAAATCCTCAAAACAATCTCTGTTGAGACAAAAAAATACAAGATACACTTTCAATTTATCCCTACAAAGACAGTTTATACAATCTTGCAATAAAAAAAAACCTTTAAGCCCCAAAACAGAGACCAATTTTCAACTGTAGACCATAATTTGATTATACTTTGTAGAAACCAACAAGCTCATGCCTTGTGAAAAATTTTTAAGCTCTAGCCCTTTCCATTTTGAAGTATAAGAACTTTTAAGTTTTTTTCTTTTAGTTGCCATAGCAACCAGAGTTTAGCATGGAATGGCATTCTTTGAACAATCTTGATAGAGCTTCATACAAAGGGTATTCCTGCCAAGTTTCATTAATATTGGCCAAGTGGTATTTTAGAAGATGTCCTTTAAATAAAATGTGGACGGACGCCGGACACCGGACGCCATTTGATTGGCCATCCTAAAAGCTCACCTGTACTATGTGCAAGGTGAGCTAAAAAAAACAACAAGAAAACAAGAAGAAAAGAAATAACAACAACAACAACAACAACGACAACAACAAAAAACATTATCTAACGTCGGTTCATATAATTATGACAAAGAAACAATTTACCAACAAAGATCTTAAAAAAGTATATGTATAACAAAATAAAAGAGTTATTCATATTTAAGATGCTTGCATATATCATAAATCATTACAAATATGAGTATTAATATTAACAAATTATTACAAATATGAGTATTAATATCTGATTAAACTCTATATCTAAGATTTTACTTTTTGATTTTTGAAATCACTAAATTATTCGACAGTAAAGCGACAATGTGTCATCGCATCACACGCCGCGAGAAGTGCGCCTTTTGTTGTGATTCGCTAGCGACAGGACGACAAATAAATATATTCATGTTCATGAATCAGGAATTTAAAAAATGTATTTAAATATTCACCAGGCAAGTAGAAAATTATATCCCATTAGTTATGAACCTATGTAGTCAGGGCAGCAAGATTCATGCTTATTTAAGTTAAAATTTTAAAAATGTATTAAAAAGTTAAACATTGTGAAGTGAGCAAAACATGTGTTATTTGTTTTGTTTGTTTTTTTGTTTTTATTTTGTCGTTTTTTTCACATTGCAAAAGGCACTTGCAGTCCGCGAAAATTACCACAAAAGAGGTCAAAATATGCAAAAATACCACACTGCGTTAGTCACGTTATAGAAATATGGTGCTAAATACTTCAAAACTTCAAAAGCAGTCATTAATCGGACAAAACATGTAAACAATTCCTTTAAATCTTGAGTCACTAAAAAAGTTAGCATAAAACGCGATGCCTGATTCGTTCAGTTAAAGATTTGGGTCGGGATTTTCACTTTTCTTTTTGGAATTTTACATGTGCAGAGTAACCATTCAAATCTATTAATATAATATAATTTTTTTAGATCTTTACTTCTATAACTTTGGAACTTTCATAAAACGATACTGATAGACGTGAATAAAACTTTTGTTCGTTTCCTATATCTTGTTGTTTACTTGTTCCGTGCAAGATGACTCCTTTTCAAACGGGGGTTCACTGTCATTCGAACTGTACGAATATTTACATCCGTTCTCACATGTAGTGCCGCCATTATCACATGCCGGTAAATATGACCTTATTCCAGACGGTGCTATGGCAGTTTCCCCCACGGACGATAGTGCAACAGCGTTGTCAACAGAGTGCGCTGCGCTCAAGTTGTCGTCCGTAACCATCGTGTTTTTGTTCCCGTCGTCTTCGTTACATTTGTCTCTCCGTCTCATTATTAAGTAGATAGCTAGATTCAAACATCCTCCAAGGTTTACTAACGTGGTCTCAATGTTAATGAAGAAAAGGGGCACGTTTATATCAATTAACAGCCACACGCTAAATACAGCACACGACCACCATTGTATAAAGAATGCCAAAACGAACAACGACATGTTCCTGGCTGCTCGCCGTGATTTATCCGTCACATTTGAATTCTTCAACGACTGGGATATTCCGGAAACTTGTTCTTTAATACGTTTCCATGTCAACAAGTATAAAACACTGTTAACAATAAAAATGAGGACAGTTGGAACGGTTGTGAACAGGATGAAAGCTACACTTCCGGTAATGGCGTCAAACTGGCAGCTGTAAAAAGAGAGTAAAAATTGACATGTTTATAATCAACTGTACAAGAAAATTGTACCACTTTATATGAGTATGTTAGTTACCCCGATATTCGTATCGCTGTGACACAAGGAATGGTTTCATTTTTTATTTGGATTGGTTGTACGGCGCACCAACACAATTAAGGTCAAATGGCGCCGGAAACAGGAATATTATTTTTGCTGTTTCACCGGTACAATACCAATGGTGTATACAAGTTTTACAACGTGCCTTCTATTTTACCGATGCTATTCCAATAGCTTCCGCAAATGTATTCATATAATGCACATTTCGTTTACTTTTAAAAAGATGCAGATATGACGAAAATGTTAAAGGTCAAGGGCCTTAACCATGCAATCGGTGTTTTGACTTGAGAAAATTCCGATATGAGTAGTGCAATAAAGTCACATAGTTTTATGAATATCTAAAACACCTGTTTTATCAAAATTTTATATACCAATTACTCGAATTTATCGGTGTAATTTGCATATATATTTCAATAAATTAGTCTACAAAACTTCAAATTTTTGGAAATGAATTGATTAAATAAGAACAATGGTGCACGTACTGTGAAAAAAGTGGTACTCGTTCTATCCTTAAAACATCAAACGTTGCAGTATGGACATAAATAATTGATTAAAATGGTAAAAAAACCTTCAATACAACAATTTAATTGACATAGAAAAAAAACTTACAAAGTTCCGTTTGGTCCGAGCTGTCCCGTAAAAGCAGCGGCAATGGCGGCAACAAAAGGTAAACCAAATGTCCACGCCAATAGTTTCCAATCATATCTTCCAAAGTTTATGTTCTTGTTGAAAAACATCATAATAAACGCATTTATCGCTACTACATTCACTAGAAGATTTTGTGCTGTGATAAATTCTGTCAAAAGAAAGCCATAAAACTCGCACAATATCTTAGGCCGAATGTGATCCTTAGTTGTGAGGTAATGCAGATGGTCAAGGCCGTGAAAAATGTTAAATCCACCGTCGCAAATAGCAAGATAAATGATAAATCGATCACGTTTTGCCCAAGAAAAGAACTTCCTGAAATTCTTGTGAGAGTACGACAAAACCATGACTATGATTACGCAACAAAGACTTAAAGAAATACATGACAGAGCTGGAATATGTATCCGGTAAAACGATCCAGTTGACAAACCGTACACCGGTAAATCGTAACCGCTCCGTGGAGCACCGGTGTCCGTTTTATTAATGCAAACCTCCGTTGTATTATTCATGTTCCTCTTAATATCTTATATCTAATAATTTAGTATAAGTGTCTGTTTTAGAATTCATTTACAATCTATTAGAATTCGTTTCTAAATCTAGATCTTCCAAGCAAGGCTTAAAACTTGCCCGTGTATTAATTCCGTAATGTTCTATTTCATCAATAATCTCACAGAAAAACAAATAATTTTAGCAAATTACTTTGTAAAAACAAACCAACAGTTATTCAAGCACTGTAAATCTATACTCGGATGTTCAAAGATGATTCCCGGTTATTGTACTTCGTTTTACAATTTGAATGGAATATAGTTCCACTTTATAAAACTCACAGCGCAACAAAAATCACTTCAACCCCACATTTTACAAAATTCTCCATTCCAAAAATAAGTTCATTCCAAATATAATAATACGTCATATTTCTTACGAAAATAGTGTAACATTCGTCATTAGATCTTTGAAGGCACATTAATTTACAGAGATCGATATTTTTTAATTCTTGAAAAATGTTAATGTTTAGATCATGGATTATGAGCATGTTAGATGTAGCGTAAAACTTGCACTAATGCGTCGTAAAGATAGCAAAATGTAAACAAAGTATTTTCACTATGATTATAGCAATTGCTGACAGTGCAAAAGATAGGTATATTTATATATCAAATGAGTATGTTTTAGCAAAACTTAATAACAACATATGGAAAAAAAAACCAACAGTTTTTGGAAAATCAATATAATAATATTTCGGAGGCATAATGGGCCTTTAAAAATGTTTCATTTTTCCTTGTTGGTGTGTAATTAATTCCGACTAACGGAAATGTTACCGTCCTTAAGCAAGCCTTACATTAATATATATACATGCCTTATCTTGATCATTTGGGCTAAATCAAAATTATACATTTAATCCAACGGTGTTTTTTTTTTTAAAAAAAAAAACAAACAAACATTATTTAGAAATTAAACTGTTTGTAACGTTTTATAAATTCACGGGGTTGAATGAATTTTGATATTATGTTAAAATGATTGACATCAACTCTTAATTGGTCATGCTGGGATTTAAGAATTGCCATAACCTTCAATCATAATAAAGGTATTAACTTTGAAATATATATAAACATCAAGGTATTTATGTGAACGCGATTCTACGAAAGACCTGCGGGGACATTTCAACCTCATAAATTGCCGGTTTCATACGAAACGTTTTCAAAATAAGGAAATTCCGATTTCAACTTCTTGAATTCAACTTCGCGAATTCACGTTTTGAACTTCAAGATTTCAACTTCACGAATTTACGGTTTCAACTTCACGATTTCAACTTCATCAATGCCACCTCCAAAGCTCATGTTTTAAATTTCACGATTTCATCTTCACGAATTCATTATTTTATCCTCACGAAGTTGAAATTTTATATTCATGAAATTGAAATCTTGAACTATGTACGTTGAAACGTAAATTCGTAAAGACGATCCCGGGAATTCAAGAAGATGAAATGTCAACACCGGTCTTTCGTACGATTCTAATGATATTGTTTTAGTTTTAGGAAACAGTCTGCTAATTTACAAATGAATCACAAAGAATTATGCCTACAGATAATGTATTAAAACAATTAAGTCTAAAAAGCTTCATAAAATAGAAAGACTATATGCCTAGGGATGATCGATTAAACAATTAAATAATGAATTATTTATTAATTATGGTAATTAACAACCCGAACTAGTCTTATGATAGATTATTTTCTGAAACAAAAAGTTGTATGGCCATTACATTAATTGAGAGTAATTAAAGGAACTCCACTGAGGTCCAAAATTCTAAAAACATAAAATTTGAATTTCTTACATTAATTTAATCAACGGGGGCACTTAAAACAGAAATGTATGCAAAATATTATTAATAATTAGACTCAGAAATAAATTTAAATCGAATTGTAGTGCTATTCACAGTTCGATTTGAGTGGAAAGCATTGCAACGCTTAATTTCGGTCATTTTTATTTGTTTGGGTCGTCAGACCAAACAAATAATGGTAGCGAAATTTCAGAGTCTAATGCTGTTAATTGCAAATGCCGAAAGTAGTCCGCTTTTTTGAAGCGGTTACTTCCCTTTATATGTACACTAACGCCGAAAAATTCAGGGGAGATCACAGCGTAAAGATGGCCAAAGACAGACGCATTAATTTTCAAGCAAAATAATTCCCGAATGGTCTAAGATTTCTAATAATGTTTTATTGTTTTTTCTGATCGAAGATAAGTAACTACAAAGCGGACATTCAATCTCTGACACAGAAGTTTCACGACAAACCTAACAACAAGTAGTTCTCAAAACAGCTTAAAACTAGCGATTTAAAAGAAAGTATCCAACAAATTACAACGCATTCAAAGTTTAAAAGTAGCGTTGGCTTATAGAATTGTCAATAAATGCACAATCACAAATTACGCGGATGAATATGATTTTATCAATGAAAATACTATTTTTAGCGATGTCGATTACCGAATACTACACAAACCGAGTAGTGGAATTTAGAGATTCTACATGTCGGACTGTTTGGGCGAGAAGATTTTCGGTAAATGATTTACTTCAATTTTAAACAACAGGTTTATCCTGAACAAAATACCTCGAAATTACAAACCCGAAATGCAATGGAAGTTCTAAATTTAGAATGACTTGATGTTATTCAGCCATTGTATGTATAACTTCTCCGTGGTGCAGGGGTAACGCGCTCGCTTAGTGTGTAAGAGGTCTGGAGTTCAAATCCCAGTCGAGGAAACTTTTTTTTTTATTTTTTTTTTTAAGTGTCTTTGTTAAGGAAGTAGCCATGATATGCAAGGATAAAGTGTGGCTGTCATAAAAATGAACATAAATGATTTTTTGATGCAACACTAGTTATGCAAAATTCCGTATGTATCAAACTCAGGGCTGCGTTTCATGGAGAGTCCTAAGTCTTAAGTTTGTCTTAGGATAAAAATTGTGACAATTTTGCGTTTCAAAGAAAGTCTTAAAAAAGGTCCTAACTTATGACTCCTATACTTATAAATGACCAAAAACAGTCATAAGTCTAGGAGTGTTTTAAAGGTATCTTAAGATTGTCCTAAGTCAAAACCACTCCAAAATCAAACAACTTATTGTTGATTTTTGTTTTGAAAACTATCTAGAATGATAGATAATGGTCTAACTAAGAAAAAAAATCCGAACACCAATATCTTTAATTCAGTCATTAACGCTGTATAGACGTTTAAAGGGATATTCAGGCAAAATACTGACAAAATTATTAAAATGATCTTATGTACTCAAATCATGCTAAACTGACTTTTCTTGAAGTTTCAGCATGCATTTCTGTTTAAATTCTATATATTTTGGGTTTGAAGCGTAAATATATCAATATATGTTGAACAAAATGTGGACGCAAATAGAATCACCAAAGATTTTTTATACAAGTCAGGTGACTTGAACAAACCCTTGAAATTACAATAACAGATATTGTGGATATTGTATGATTGAAACACGTCATGTCATACATTTGGCATGATCTTTAACGTTTCCAGAGTTCTCTTTGACCACTATTGTGAAATGTAAGCGCTCTAACCTGACCCACGCGGGTCATGTTAGGAAAACCATCATTTTATTCTTTATATGGAGAAAAGTTTTGTTCCTTTGACTGTCTAATATATTTATTTTTGATGGCATTTACAGAATATTGAATGAAACATTCAAAACTAAAAAATGAAAATTTTGCCTGTATCTCCCTTTAAAGAATTGTTTACAGGATGTCACAATGTAGCGCCAAATATCGCGCGCAAAACAAGACGCATCTATAAATAATATTACTGCACGCTGTACAATTGCAGTTGCGTAGCAAGCAAGGGGGTTCGTAATCGTTTTTTTTTTACTATGAAATTAAATAAAATGTTTATCGTTTTTCGTGAAATATGGTATATATTTTCACTCAACATGATAAGAGGGCAATACATTGCTTTTTATACTTGCTATAATCAATTAATTAGTAAATCCAATCCGGGATTATGCGCGTGCCATTGTATTTTGTAACTTTTTTCAGGAGAGCGAATTGGTCATAAGTCTTAAGTTTCAGGCAAAAGATAGGACAGTTACTTGAAACGGTCTTAAGTGCAAAAACTTTTTCGCCTAAAGTTGGTCATAAGTCCTAGGATTTATGATTAACTAAGGACTCTCCATGAAACGCAGCCCTGGTGCCTTGCAAGATGAATTATAGTACATAAAAATAAACTTATACAGGAAAATACATACAGATATACAGTACGATTTAGATTGCAAAGATCAGAAAATACCACAGAGCTTGCAGCCCTTTAATTCTTTATAGATATACATGCTTATAGTAAGCTCCATGATTATTTACATCTGTGTTAAACAACAGTTAAAGTTATTACAAGCCCTAATTTAGAATAATATGGTTTTCTTCAGGCCGTTCACATATAAATTCACCGTGGCCTTGAATATCAGTGTTGCAATTAGTCTTATAGCCACTTTACTACAATTAAAACGCTGGAAAGCATTGGTGGCACTATACATATAATCTCACAACCTGTACCTTTCTTACATTCTGAGACCCAAACAAATTCAGCACCTTCTGTGCTTTGATTTACAATTGGAATAATTAGTCTGGAAAAACTGAGTTAGCGAATGATCTAAAATTTTGCATAAAAGTTACTTTCTGGAAGTATATTAAATTGAACATTATTCTCGGGAAAGTATTTCTAGTAGCATCATATCAAACATCTCAGTGGTGTCCCTTTAAGACAAAATCTAATTTTGATCATCATTAGTTAAAGGCCCATTATGCCTCAGAAAAGTTATCATTTTTATTTCTCAAAAACTTTTAATTTTTGATATGTTTTTACAGTTTCCAAACATTATACTCATTTGCCATATACATAAACATTTTTTTTTTTTGCAACGAAATTTCTAAATCCCTGAAAGTTTTGTTTATAATTGTCATACATCTTTACCAATTATAAATCCAAATCTAAAATATGCAATAGATATGGAACTGGTTTTACGATATTTTTAGATGTTTTGTTGTTTATGATCAAGTTTATTTTGACATCTATGTAAATAATAGAATAATTAAAAGCAAT